AAGGCCTTGGTCTACGTGGGAGAAACTTTGAGAACACATTCAGTGTGTTCCGCAACTGTTGAGCTTGCAAAAGCCATCAGAATTTCAGCATGCCTAGCACGCCCCAAGCAATGCCTCGAAGTTCTGGGGACGCTGTGGGCCCAACAAAGGTGTAGGCGTGTGCGAAGTTGACCTGAAGAGCTCCAAGAAACGCAGCATCCTCAATGAGAGTTTTGCGCATCAACTCCGAATGCCAACGGCCGCAACACATTACAAGCTGGGCGAACGACCAATCATCTGAAGCCAATGACGGGAACGGTGTGGTCCCATGATCCCCCACAGCACCCGTGATGCCCGTTCCGCTTCAGTAAGCTTCGATGCCACAAATCAGTTGTGTCATGTGCACTGTTGAGGCTCCCACCAAAACGCCTCCGAAGTCCTGAGCTGAGATGAGTTTTCTTCTTGGTCGCTCAAGGCTGAACAAATAGGCACCTTCATCAATTTCAAATCAATCTTTTGTTGGCAATTCTCAATTTTATCTACTCCTATGTTGTAACCCTGGTCTGTCCCACCCAAATTTAAACACAGAGCAGCAAGCCAAGTCAACGGAATGTCTTGCTGGAACACCATAAACTAAGTATTGGTATGTATATATACATACTGTACTGTATATATATATACATATGATGTTTTTTTTGTGGGGGGTGGGGTCCACATATATATATATATGATCATACATGCATAACTACTAGTATAATCTAGTATATATATATAATATGTGTATTGTAGTAAATCTATCTGTATGATGGCACTGTGAAGTGCGAGAAAACAAGGACTTACAGTACAACTTACGATGTTGCCTTTGTGTCAATGTTACGCACAAAGTAGACCGCATGGCCTCCTCGGCATCGAAAATGGAGGTGGTCACCTCCGGTCAGCTCAGTTTGCAGGTCAAACACCCAGTGCAATCCCTGAAGGCTGAGCCATCTTTTGGATTGTTCTTAGATATTTGTGTCATCTGAAGAATCAAATATTAGCAATCTGTCGCTATGCCACGCTGTGCCATCCTTTCATCCCTTGTGTGTCGATTCTCGAATGAGAGGAAGTGATGTTCTTGGACTGACAAAACAAGCACGACTGTGCTTCTCTCTGACGTATCCAGAGTACATTTTGTACATTGAGAAATTCTACAGGCCTCAAAGCTACAATGCGCAGAAAACTGCGCCACGAAGATTGCCAAGCCATTCAAGAGACCTTGAGGTCTAGCAAGCACAAAGAACGATGAACACAAACGCCTCTTGGAAGCCCAAAACAATGTCTAAGCAGTTCATATAGAACATGAAATTTTAGGGGGGGGTAGGCCGCTAAGAGGTAGTAGCTAGAGGTAACTAGTGGAAGCTGTAGGTAGCTAGTATCTTACTTAAGCTACTAGCATCGACGCAGGATAGCTCACGCTTGCACTATTCATATTCGTTTGGTTCCTAGATGTTTAGGGAAACTTAACTATAGCATACTATAGCCCAAACCAAAGCCAAAACCATTCCGAACACTCTAACACAAGGGCAACACATCGTATTACCGTCTTTGTCAGCCTGAGGCAAGAAAGAAGACCTGAATCCTTCTTACAATTTTGATTGTCCTTGCTATGTCCGATGGGGTCCCATCTGTGGTTGCCTTGGTGATAACTCCATGAACATGATTGCTTAGTCGGAAGCACCTGTGAATGAGGGCATCCCAAAGTCGAAGTCGGCTTTTGGACCTACCTGCCAAGTGGCGGGTCAACGCCGAAGAAGTCAGCGAAAATGTCAAACATGCAAAGCGATGTGTAAAATGAAAGAGCGATTAGGCGGAGCATGTCAAAGGTACGGTGTTTCCTAAATCAGTTGATCTCACATTCATTCAACGCAAATGCCGCGTATCCGCGCATGTGTGAGAAATATACTATACCCGATGTCAGTATAGTTTGGCCAATTCGCTCGTTCAGCACGAGCCTTGGGAGCTTTTGCGTGAACGTTAAAACCTGCTCACCAATCCGAGGCTTTTGGAAGGTAGTTCACAGTATGTCCAATCCGTACGATCCCGTCCCGTCCGTTCCAGGCAACCCAGGCAACCCGGCCTCTCCACCAATATCCTGTTGCACAGGGTGTAGAAACTGCTGCTGTGAAAATGCATGAAAATGCAATCAGGTGATTCTCCAGTTGTCAGAAAGTACAGCCAACTATCACAAAACCATAGGCCACAGCAAGAGCACGCAAATCAACAAGCAGCCATCAAGCAGCCATGTGTATGACTCACAAAGTTTGGAATGAAAGAGTGATTCCTACTCACAAAGACCATATGAGGGACGGTCAAAACTCCTTATTCTTCTTCAACGAGCTCATGTTTTGACCGTAGCTCATATATTAACAGTGACAAGTTGCTGCACTGACTGTCAGCAGCGTTACGATCAACGCGAAGACCTCAGGGGCTTGATAAGTTCGTGCGAAGCATGCGCGCTTAGCACAGAACGGGCAAGTCGAGTAGACCATGAGCAAGTGTTGGAGCGAGGAGAAGAACATGACTCCATAGTATGAACTTCATCGGTTTGATCAAAAGTCCATACATCCAACATCATCCAACACCAAGAAAGGAAGGATGTACCAAATTCTAGTCATACTGGGTCCCGCGACACCACCAATGCAAGTCACTGCAAACAGCTTTCCAGAAGGCGGTGTTGGCCAGCACACCTTTGGGATATGCGTAGCGAGTTCATGTGTTTTCGCTGGGAAAATCTTCAACAAGGCAAACAGCAGCAAGCACCTCTCCTCGAGTCGTTGCACGATTGCATCATCAACCAAATTATCATTGGTCAGTTGCAGAGTCGATTCAATTCTACATCTTTTAAGTGTATCGCTGAGACATGTTGATGAAGTGATCTAAGGTTGATTCGTGCATCATCACTGTCATCACTATCCTTAAAGAATCTTAAAGTAATCTTAACGGTGGGACCGGTGCCAAGGTTCTGGTGGATTTGTTCGACTGGCATTGTTTCTCTCTATCCTTGCTCCAAACAAAAGCTGGTCCATCAATTTGTATGCATGACTAAGCCAGCCTGGCAACAGGTTGGGGCCGCAACGAGCCCCAATGTGCATTCAAGCTTTCCATTTCCGCTTGTTTCCTCTCTAAATTGAATGACTCCTTTGGTCGGTTCTGGATGAGCAAGAAAACAATCCAGGTTGACGGAGCTTGCAACCCCTCTGGTTTTGGAAGCAGAATTGTGTGAGAGCCTTGGCATCCATATGGTGCCATATGGCATCTCGAGCACTTTCCTCAAACAGACCAGGACAATGCCGAGATCCAGGCTCCAGGGCAAGCAAGAAACATGGCAAACCATAGTGTCCAGCCTCCAAAGACAAAGAACATCTGTCTGACACATGTGCCCTCACACGATGCTTGTCATTTGATGAACATGCCAGCATGCAAAGGTCTTGACTGCAATCAAACAGTCTCATTTTGATACACACACACACAGAGACAAAAGCAATCATTTATTATTGTGTGTAGGTGCTCATTTCTGAAAGTCAAGTCTGCCGCATCAAGGTATGGTACAACTCGATTGTTGCCCTTTTCAAGCACGGTTCAGCCGCTGCCTCTCCAAAATTCTTACACAAGTCGGAAACGCTGCAGTGCCCAGATTGACAAATGCATTACTCAGAATCAAAGTCTGGCCTGTAAACTAACAGAGTGAGAAAAACTGTCTAATTCTGGCCCAAACTGCATTGCAGCATTTGATCCTAATCTTACCACCGGGCTTGACGCTCTAAGAGGCGTTGAAACACAGGATTCACTATCTAAATCTTTTCACAGCATCTGTTCACTCGCAGTGGAAGATTGGTTTGCTAGTTGCTGCAAGCTGTAGGTCGTCTACCTGGCACCTGCAAGACTTACGGAAATGCTGGGGTCAAATACAATCAGAAGGACAAAAATCATCAAAAATCTAGAGAGTCTAAGGCCCAACTAGGGAAAACACACACGTGCACAAAGAAAAAGACCAGAATAACAAAAAACAGAGCCACACACACAAGATGCAGGTTCATTATCTGAACTGCTGTGAACGACTTGTTAGTCACCTCATGGTATGACTCTTTGGAAACGAAGTCAAGCGCTGGGAGACGCAGGCCGTATAGTAAAATTAGGAAAATCGATCACAGGTGCGCTTATGGTCTGGTATCCGCTTTTGACGTGATCCTTCAAAATAAACTGAATGGCGATGTTATACTTGCCACACTTCGAAACATTTTTTGAACCTCTTCTGACTTGATAAGCCCTTTGACAATGATTAAAACACCTATAAACCACCGTCGACATGCATGAGATTTACTCACTTTAGATGAAGAAGAGGCTAAACAGGATGTTTCGGCTATTTGTGATGTCCTTCAGCTTAAATTGGTTGCAGCGATGACAAGAACCAACTGATTGCTGGTGTGCCTGTGTGACAAATGGACCAGGCAAACATAACGACAGAACGACAAACCAAGGGCACAGAAATCGAGTCACCCGAACACAAATCAAAACACTCAAAGCACAAAACAGAACTTGCCAACATGAGAGACACAGCAATGACATGCATTAAACTTGAGGCTGAAAGTAAAAAGGCTTGGTTCTGAGTCCGTTTGCACTTGAATAAAATTGGGATTGTGCAAAGGGATACATGTAGAACATGAGGCCTACATCAAGAATATGATTGCCTGCCCTGGTTTGCTAGTCTTTCTTGTAACATAAGCTCACGAGTTCGCATTTTTGCCGCACAACAGTGCCCAACCTATGCCCAAGTCCTTGAACAAGCACATCCCCAAGTCCCTTGAGCAAAAAGTATAGTTGCCCCCAATCACAGCAAATACTTAGGAGTTCATTTCCACAGAAAGAAGCTATGCCACATGGAAAAAGCACTGACGGCGAAAGCTGTACAGTGCACACAAAGAAGCTCTGCCCCAGCCGCGATTGTTAGGATGAGGATTTGGGCCTCTAAGAAACTGCAACTTTCACGCGAGGTTGGACAATGCAACTTCATGAATAGACCAGAAAGTTGGGTTTGGGGTTGCACCCCTTAGTGAGTTGTATATATATATATGTTCGTAGTCATCAAAATTCTTGCTGCGATGCATCCAACTGCGATGCCGCCCATCTGTGCCTGTGTATGGATTCTCTCGTTCCTCATCTCCGCAAGGGGACCCATTCTCACACTCAATTTCCTCGTCGTTATGGCCAAGGGTGGCAAAGCATTGAGTAGCAACATTCTCCTGATACACACAGGAACACATCAAAGTCCGACAAAAAACTCTGTGACCCTCAATGACCCACATCACAGCGACGGATGCACTCTAAAAGCTGCCTGTACTCCCAAATTGGAGCTTGCAAATTTCCTTTGAAACTGGTGCAAGCTTTGCTTGTTGCTCAATATAATGGTCAGAGCTTGCCCATCAGTTCTTAAGCCTCTTACAAGAAACTCTTTGGCAACCAAACGCAACCTTGACAGTACGGATCTGCAGCTCTGCTCCAACCTCCTACTACAGATTGTGTTGGCCAAGGTCCTTGCTATTCCATAACCTTTGTGTGCGTGTGTGTGTGTGTGTGTTGCAACCGGCTGGGTAGTCTGGACTTGCCCACTGAACGCTGTATATTATAAGTGGAGATTAAACTAAGGAGATGGCTGCAGTGCTGTTGTACGGCTGACCTTATACCCTTCTTGCGCACAAAGCCAAGGGACAATTACAACGTAGCTGCTGCTGCACTTCGTGCCTTCTGGCAAGCTGCGACAATCAGCAGCACTGGAAGATACCTTGCCCTTGCATGCAGGTACGCAGCCATCCATGTTGGTCGCGCACACGGGTCCTCCAAAAGCTACATATTGACATATCAGCTTGGTTGATGGGCAATGACTTTGACCTGTACAAATTTCTTGTTGTCTGCATTTTACAAGTGCGCTTTGATCAAAACAAACGACTAGCCAAACAAAGTAAGAACTTACTCTCTCTCTCTCACTCACTCACTCACTCACTCACTCTCTCTCTCTCGCTCGCTCTTTTGCAATTTAGACTCCACCGTATCATTGGACCTACCTTGCTTGACGAGCTTCCACACCTGGTTGTTTGAAAGACCTTCAAGTGGATTCTGGTAAAGAACCCAAGGGACTGTACAACCTTCTCTTGCAGCCCAGGCCTGTCCTGACAGCTCTGTGTTTTTCATGCAGTTTCGATGCCCAGAACCAGTACATGCATGATGTGCATTGCAATCTGTGGCTTGAGCACATGGATCATCGGCTCCAGCACAGTCCAATTTGCGGCCGGCGCATGTGGCGAGCCGAGGCTTTGGTTGCAGCTTCTCGTCCGCACGTAAGAGCCCCTGAGATGTGACCTCCACGTGATGGGAATGTGGCTGGGCAGCAGAGGCCAGCAATGCAAGGTTAAGAATCGAAGCGAGTCTGCAAGATTTGCTCAGCATCTTCGCATTCACATTGCAACTTTACAATCGTACAAGCAACCACTTGAACCACTGCGGCCAATCACATGGGTGCAGTTGATGTTCAATCCTATTCACGTAACGTATCTATGCATATCAAATATCCAAAGTATATCATGTGTGCTGAGGAATTGACCGAAACCATTATGTGACAAGAAGACCTCTGAAGTGGTATGAAGTGGTTTAACTTCTGCCTTGCAAAGCCAACAAACACAACTATACTTCCTTTGTCTGATCAAAATACCTACAAAATAACTGACATAGCTAGGTTCGGACAAAACCTTGTTCCTTGAGGACTTGGTGCTTGCAAAACTGGTTTTGCCATCACTTGGTTTCTGCCTTGCCATTCCGGGAGGAAGATGAAGAGTATATCCTGAGGAAAGATGAGGAAAGTCAATTTCATGAAAGTGGGCCCCGATCCAGGATCCCTCAAACGCCCATGAACTACATACGTATGCTGCCGTCACGGTGGTACGTCCTGTACGTTACGTCCTATTGTTCTCGAAGTCTTCACTAGCTTGCCATTGCAGTAGTGGTAGCGTTAGTGGCTGTGAGCGTGGTCACGATGGTAGCATGAGGCAAACCCGTAGCAGTAGCAGCAACAAGGATAGAGGTGGACTAGCACAGAAACCTGCATATGCAACAATGTGATTGGCTACAGCAACGATTGTTCTGCCCCTCCAACTCCAACTTTGTAAATTCTTCATGTCTCGCACAACATTGCACAACCAACTTCTGGTGCTCCTTGGATTTCTTGATTCTGGGTGTAAAATGTTGTAAAACTTTCCAACCTTGATCTGAGAAACTAAGAAACTTGTTGCCACTCAGCTTTGACAACCTCATGGATCCTTCCCAACAAAGGGTAGGGTCATGTGGAACCTGTGCCGATGTTGAGGCTTTTGAACTACCAGCAGTACATTGTGTGGCTCACGCACTGTTCGATTACATGGCATGCTCGCCTCAAAGGATGCACCTCACTGCCCTCGCATGCCCTAAAACAAGGGATGCCTGCCCTTCGGGCGTCGTGCACAGTTACGCGTGGCTGTGGCAGCCCAACGAGGGTAGTGCGTTTTTGAGTGTAGTACGGTTTTGGGGTCAATGTGTTTTTTTGTTTTTTAAACGTATGGTTTTCTCCATAGTCTGGTGGTGTTCAGTGCTACCGCCGCAGTGCTTTTCTGCTCACTTCAATGGTTTGCGTGTCGCCCTTGCGATGGCACAAAAAAGATATTATCCTCTTTGGTGACACCAAAATTGCCAGCGCCGCACATAATTGAGCAGTTCTGGGTTCAAAAACCCAAAAAGGAGTTGCATAGCATGTGCAACGTTTGTCATTACCCCGACCCCACCCCATGTTCTCATACAGCAAGGCAGTTCCGGGAAAAGTCCGTTCTGGAAAAAAGTCCGTTGCGGGCGAAAAACAGTTGCGTAGCATGTAGCATCCACATCGAACGTTCACGTGAAAAACGCATACCTCCCACGACGCCCTCGAGGGACCCATACCTGAAACAAGAAGTTGTGTTCCTAAAAGTGTTCGAAACGAAAATCCCCTCTGGAAAGCACTGCTTCATCTGCTTCATTCAGGAGCGGACGGACAGAGCAGAGAGCTGGCACACAAGCAATCCTCCAAGTGATCTGTCCAGTCTTTTCTAATGCCGAATCTATTCCAACGTATATGTAACTCTGCTACCATCGTTGATGTACAACGACTGTCAGCACTTGGATGATCACACTCAAGACTCTCTGTTCTGCGAGACTGGATCATCTGATTTAAATGACAAAGCAAATCCGGTGACGTGGAATCTCCCCCTCCTCCACTGTACAGAACGTAGGAGACTAAAACGGCCAAGTGACCCTGCCGCGACAACTCCAGCTGTGCGAGGCGTGACAAGCTGTGAGAACTTTCGGTGAATTGTATGTTTGGGAACCGCGCTTTTCTTATACAACTGGTGTGGTGTGGGATGGAACCGACCGTACCAAAAACATGTTGGAAGCAGCTGGAATGGGAATTCAAGAGTTGATTCAACAACAGAGTGCCCTCCTCTGCATGAGAACTCTCAAAAGGACACGCCTTTTACTTGTTCAAATGACAGCGCAAAGGTCTATCCAGTCGCCTCTGAGCCAAGGACTCGTCGGCCGATCTCTGGGTAAGAGAGGCGGCCTCTGGTGGATCTGATCTTTTCCGTGGCCTCTGGTGGTCCCTTTCGGTTGAGTGATGGGGGGCCCGGACAGGCAGGCTGGGACAAGAAGCTAGTAGCCTAGGGAGCTACTAGGCGACAGGGATGACAAGGTTCAAGGAGGTTCCTCAATGTTTGTGAATCAAACTTTCCTGCGAACGCTTCCAAGTTCCTGCGCATTGGGACGGCATCGCAGAACGCATCGCAGGTGGATCCCTTCGGTGGGACTTTGCTGCATTCGGGCCCGAAGGGCGATGCCACACATGCTGTGGATGGAAAGGATCGAGGAGGGTTCTGGCACAGAAAGAACAAATGGAACCGTGGCATACCGTGGCCAGAAAACACGAGGTTTTTCAGTGCTTGTTGGATGTGGAAGCCATGAAAAGCCCACCTGCGATGGTGCCATCGAAAGCACTGAGCTCCACCAGCATCTGACAGGAGTGCTGAGCACAAAACATTCCTCAAAATCAAATGTATGTTTACTTAAAAGTACTATATACAGTAATATATACATGTGTACATATATATATATATATCTTTTTATAGATGTTATACTTGTTCGGTAGGGGCCAGCTTTTTGAGAATCGACTCAACACCTGGATGGTCACTTGTCACACTTTCACTTGCGTTCGTTGTTCATGCAACCAGCTTAATTGGAAACAAACACCTTGATCAAAAATATGAGTGGTGTTTTTGACCACCCAAAATGTTGCTCATGGCCACAGTAAATAAGCTGGAAGAGAGTATACTTTCTGCGACAAAACACTGCGTGCCACGTGCATTCGTTTCGGCCTTGTGCATCGTGTTTCCAGCAACCCTTCTGCGCAAGTGCCGCCCCCAGTAGCGTCCTTGCTCCTAGTAGCCATGCCAGGAGCCCCTAGCAGCTTCTTGTTCCTAGTAGTAAGGCCAGGAGCCCCTAGTAGCATCCTTGCAATATCCAACACATTTCTGACTCCGATCCATTTTGCCTTCCAAGTGCTGTACGAGGATTTTACCTGGCAATGGCATGAGCCCTCGCTGGCATTACTTTGCTTCTGTGAGAAGTAGTGTTGTGGCAATGGCGCATGCACGCAAATTTAAGCGAAGACCAACATGATGCTGCCATTGAACTTGAGCTGTGTCATGTGTTCATTCGACCACAAAAAAGACCGGTGTCTCGATATCTCGATATGTCTCATGAGCCACTGCCCTTCAGCAAAAGAGCATGGCAGAGATGCTGCCACTGGCAAGGCCTCAGCGCTTTTCAGGGAGGCCCCAAAGTTGATTTTCTGAATATGGTTGACATCACTGGACACCACTGGTTTTGGAAAGTGAACGTTTTGCATTTAGGAATATTGATAACTTGATGGCTTTTGAGAACCTCTGTTTAATATGTCCTTGGGGCTGGGATTCAGCCATCAAGCAATGATCGACTTGTTACTGCTCAGGAACACCCATATTCGTGTTTGATCTTTTTTGACTGCCTTCAGACTAGCACGGTATTTACTGTGTTCCTGTTTAGGCAAGAGACACCAAGCACCCCCCCGTGCAATTCCAAGGCTTCCTGACAAATAGGCCAAAGAGCGGCCCAGCTTCAGCCATTGCATAAGGCAGCGCCTGCACTGCAAGCTTCAGAACTTCACACATGCCAAATTGCCAAATCAATTACACTATATAGCCAAAGGCAGAACATTTACAGGGCCTCTTTATGGAGTTTCCCAACAGAGTCCCTGTTTTTCTTTGTTGCCGAATACCTGTCTATACATGTGTCATGCATACACATATACCTGATCCCTATCCAACAAACAGCAACAAATGTAATAGAAGCGATATGGCTGGCTCTTCAATTATACAGGCAAAAACAAGTATGCTCGAGTGACTATATACATATCACTTAACTGAATTCTTATCTAACGATACCGTATGTTGTTCTCGGATGCATCTGCAAGATCTTCAGCCAAAGATCATTGTTGCAGCCGAGGTGCTAAAATCGCTACACCCAGCAGGTTCACGGTGACGTTCGCCAATGCCTGGACTACTTGATTCTGCTTGATCCTTGTCACGGGGAATATGATGGGTTACGATTTTGGCAACCCTCAGAACACAAAAAAAAACGCTTCGTCCTTGGTTCAGCTTCAATAGGCAACTCCAAACTGTCTGATGATTGTGTACATATCAGTTCACATTGCAGTATCTGTGCTCTTCAAAGCACAAGTCAATGCTCCATGTGTCCTTAAATCAAACGATGGCTTTGGACAAAGAACGAGGTGTCGTCATGTGTACCATACAGCAACGGTGTGTGTGTGTGTGTGGGACTCTTCGCTTGGTTGTTGGTGATGGTATGTCGGTGCCTTTTTGCTTTCCGCAAACCCAAACAACTGCACATACAGAGTTATTCTTTCTCAACTTCAGGTGCATTGAAGCACTCAGAGTGTATTGCCGTTGTACAGTCCTCAGATCTATATAAACAGAACCAGAATGGGAAGAATGCAGTGGCGTACGGCGTGCGGCCTTGAGACTTGAGATGAATAGCAAGTTTGGACTTTGGACAAACGTCACCAAAACCGTCTGTTGCAGAATGTGACCAACACAAGGCTCCACTGCCCATAGTAATTGCAGGTGTTAGTCCCGGATCTACAACTGACCGGGAAAAAAAGGCGTACCTGCCAATTAAGCAGCTCATTGCCACGTAGCACCGGAAACTGCCAAGCAGCCGGAGAAAAAACACAGAACAACATCCCCACAAAACAAAAAACATGATAAAGCTGCTGGAACAACAGTAGTGAAGCAACACGTGGTTTCTTTTTGAGCAACAAACACACAGTTTGA